CCATCTTGCCATACTTGCTGTCACGCTTCCCGTAGTCCTTAACGTGCTTGTCATCGTAGCCGTACTCCTTGTTTTGAGAATAGCCATGCTTTATCTCGCCGTAGTGGTCTTGGATGTCTTTGTAACTCTTTACGTGCGCAACATCATAAGAATCGTGACCACTCATACTCGAAACAACTTCTCCGTTCGTTGTATTTCCTGCAACCACCTCTTCGATTTTCACGACTTGAAGAGGATCCTCTTCACTTTTGGATTCCATATTATGGGAGGTCGGTAAAAATTTTGAGGACGGCAAAATTGCGGGCACAATAGAGTTGTTGAGGTTTTGAGCTTGAAGCTTCTGCAAATCCACTTCAGTCTGGTTTGCGGCATGTGCAGTAACTCCTACGGAAGCCACCTCTGTGGCTGAGGACCACACTACGACATTCGCAACGCTTAAAACAAGTGATAAAGAGAATGCACACCGCATCATTTCTGTATATTTATTCGGTTTAGGGTGGTATCGTAATCTGAAGGAAATAAAATAGTGAGCTCATTAGAGGCTTATGAAGAAACGATTTCGTCTGAATTAATACATGGGAGGCAGCAGTGTATGCATTTTTCAAATCTCTTCCTAAATAATTTGCTGCACGCTACTTGTATTATTGAGTCGGGTTCTACTTCAACAATTACTTCGATTTACGTTCCTATTTGTACGTGCGTCTGTATCTGCTCGCAATATAACGCCCCCAAAATGCCTCAAGACGATAAATGAGGAAGTTAAGAAACTAGTGATAAAGGAAAGATTACTTATCAGAGCTGCACGTCGGTGCGTCCTGATTGGCTATTTTTTGGGGCTTCCAATGTTGGGGAGGTTTAATGGCTCGATTTCGTACTGCTTGATACGCGTGCGCTACGTTGACAGCTCGGCGGACGGAGGCGTGTGAAATCACGTTTTCCCTCACTTCTTTGAAAACTTTGAGTAATAAGAGATATCCTTACCGTACGTGTGACTCTGAGAAAGACATCGTGGGAAGCCATTATTGCACGTGGGTGTCCGCGGCATATTTGATTTCTGTTGAAGAAGGGAGAAAGAATTGGAATCGCTCTCTCGGAATTTCTCACTTGATTCAATCCCAGTTCCTACTCCCGGACTATCAACTTTCTAATTTTAGCTACATGCGATATAATCGACGAGCAGATTTGAATATAGTGACGAAAAAGGATACACCAAAACTGGAGTCTTTCGTAGATTCTCAATCGCTTTAGACGCGTTAAAGGACGAGAGGAAATGAGGAAAATAAGACAGCCAGATAAAAAAAGAGCTCATGCTGCCGGTCCATCCTTAACAAAATATTGAAGAATTAATTGCTGAAATTATCATATGACGTAGTTAAGCCATAAAAATGTACATTGATTCACAACTAATGCATACTTATGCGATGGACTGCTGCGAAATGTACTCAGATTAATATGTTACCTGGATGCCGTGCTCCCGTCAAAGGTATACAATAAAAGCGTAGTGGTAAGGCTGAGTTTCAAAACGTATAAACGCTCCAGTGTATGTGTCCAAGCGTCTCATAACCATAAGTGACTCGCACTGGGATCCACATGCGCGTTTTTTAAAGGCCCTTGGTTTTTAATTTATATGTATTACATTCTGTCTTTGCGGTCATTTTACTAAGTATCACTAGCCTTTTTGCTATTTCTGTTTCTAGGAAGCCATTTTTCTCGCTGTTTCGATAGCCGAATTTATCATGTTATTTTAATTCGTGCATTTGCTCTACTATCTCATATTGTTCATGCTAGCTCTCTTTTGAGATTTCCTGCCCTTTCTTTGCGCGGGAGCCCATACTAAAACTTACTCATATCCCTTGCGAAGGTGGGGCTTGTAAATGTCCTTCTTCGCCTCACTAAATCCGCTTTCGTAACCTCCGTGGTATGCCTCCTTCTCGTACTTTCCATCGTACTCTTTGCCTTCATAGCCGTGGTCGTGCTTCTTTATGTTTTTACTGGCATAGTCCTTGCTGTCATATTTCCCATCGTAGCGGTCATAGCTATCTTCTTTGCTCCATTTGTCGCCGTAGTACGATTTCCCATTATCATACTTGTTATCATAGTAGCCATACCCTTCCTTTTCCATGCCCTTATTTCCGTAGTACGCGTTCTTACCATCATATTTCTCATCATAGTAGCCATATCCATCGTTCTTATCCCACTTGTCATTGTAGTACGATTTCTTGTTGTCATACTCGTCATCATAGTAGCCGTAGTCACCCTTCTTTACATCCTTGCCTCCGTAGTACGATTTCTTGTTGTCATACTTCTCCTCATAGTAGCCGTAATCATCCTTTTTATATCCCTTATCGTCCTTCTTCATATCCCATTTCCCATCATGAAGCCAATTACCGTCCAAAAAACCATGCATTGACTCGTCTTGGCTACCTAAATACCAGTCCATTTCCCCTTCACCACCGGCCATCTTGGTGTACGGCTTTTCATGTTCATGTGTGTGGTACTCACGGTGCGGCTCGTAATGCGAATTATGGTACTCAGAGCGAGGCTCATAGTGCTCAGAATACTTCTCGACGTGTTGGATTTGCACAGGTTCGTGCGCGTCGTAGCTCTTGACAGAAGCCTTATGCGTGGCCATTGTTTTGTACGCCGCCTTGTCAGCATTTGCGATAACATCAGCGGCCGAGGAGATGGTGACAAAACTTGTGGTGGCCAAAAGACCAGATAAAGCCAATGTGCAGCGCATGAGGATTTTCTTTGAAAGGATTCTGTTTATTTGTGTAGCTTTTGACCTGGCATTGATATGTGAGATGTTGAGGTGGTGCTCATTGCAAGGCTCGAAAATGCTCGTCTTAAAGTAGGACAGAGTTCAGAAGCTTGCAACATCGATACATTGATGAGCCTCGTCAAATACAAATCTACATGGCAGCCTTTACAAATGATGCCATTGCACAGCCTAAAACTTTTGCAATACCTAAACTATCGCTCGAGGAAGAAAGTGTGCACAACACCCGATTGGAAGTAGTGAGAAAAACAAACGTGCCTCTGCTGGACCTATTCGTCGATACTCTCTGATTGGTTGTTGGAATACACGATTTTATCAAAGGATCGGATTCGTACCGCAGACTACAGGCAGGTGTCGCTCGGTTAGCAGCTCGAATACGTTCCTTTCCTTGAAGTTGAGGCAGTTTGAAAAGCCGTTGAGAGTCGTTGACGCACCCCCTCCCACAGAACTTACTAAAAAGGTGAGTGTGGTTTGAATTGTGCAGATAATGAGGCATCGCACACAGTAATGATCTCCTACTTGATCACCTTTCTGCGACCTTTGTACATTTTTTCGATGAGGCACTCTCGGAGTCGCTAAATCCGCTTCAAGTTCCCAAACACTGCTGAAACCTTGCCATGACGTGGCTGTAAGATCTCTTAGATAAATGACAAATTGAAGAACAGCAAACAAGTTACAATCTTTTAATCCTTTCTATCTATGTAATTGGGTGAAAATGGACCATCTGTTAGTGATGGCACCATTTGGCATGTCGAGATCGCATCACTTCAGGCAACATATTTTTACGCACTTCCATAATAATTGTCATCGCCTATTGACTCTTTCACGTCATTCACATCGTAGCCTTGATCACTTTCGTAAAGGAATAGTTCTTGGAAATACATTTCGGCTCCCAAATGCGATTTTAAATCCAAATGGGACTGGAATTTACACGCCGTGGATTGTCTCTTGGGACATCAATGTCACCGCAACATTCTTAAATGTCTGAAGCTTCATCCTCGTTATAACACCCTGGCAATGGGACAGAAATTCTAATTGATCATGCATAAGTTGAAGGTCATAGACCAAAAACATTGCTAGGATCCCTGTACCGGGCTGCCCATCTTCAGAGGTTGCAGAGTTCTAGTTTCGAAGAAGGCTCGGTAGTTGACTACGTGTGCTAGGGCTCTCATATTTACGGTATAGCTGAAGTTTCGATGCCATGTAAGTCGAACGAGACATGTCGCCTAAGGATAATTATTTTTGAACGAGCGAAATATCGAGGACCTTCGTTGGGGGACACTGGAGGCGGAAATGTATTGCGCTCACGCTGGCTCGTGTCGGAATCGCTTGACTTACTTGGTAGATATAGTATTAAAGACCTTTAAGCATCTACGTACTTCAGTGGAATTAAAAGCAGTAGAGTGCAGAGATGCATATTTCGAAGGCCAACCTCCCTTCCTCGAGGTTTACATCTTGGTGCTGAATACCGAGACAGAAGCTGAAGCGAAAGAAGAAAAATAAAGTCGACGCATTTTAAGGTGGGCGCTTGGAGTCTGTACGCAAAGAATCCCACAAAATCAAATCGTTGCGGCGCGTAGTTGGAAGCCTCAATCCTTGTGTCGAAACGGTGTGTCTGTACCTGCTCATTTGGTGCCTCAAATTCATTTTTGCCTCTGAACGGGCAACAATGTTGCTAAGCTGTTATTCTCGATACATATATGGAATATAGCGGAAGCTTTGACGCTGTAAAAACGAAGTTCGAGCCGTTGTATAAAAAGCTCTATAAAACCCCTGCGTTGTGACCGGGGGCAATCAACCCTAACGTCACAAAGGAAAGATTTCTGCCCCCCCTTGCAGTCCCCTTTTACTTTGTTGCGCAGCCTGCTGGCACGTGATAGAATGCGCAGTAGCCTTAATGAAAAAGGAAATATTGGTACAAATATCGTTCCAGTCATCGTCATGTGCCGACAGGGGATGAAATCGACGACTTTTATCTTTCCTTCAGTAGATATCAGACGTACGTACTCATATTCCCTCGTGCATCTCCTTATCACTTGCTTATCAATACCTCCCCAGACGGCAGGGGAGTGGTCAAAGCGCGAGAGGGAGACCTTCTAAGTGCTGTTGAGAAAGCACGAAGAGGGGTGGTGGTACAGGCCATGCAGGAGCGACCTTCAAGCCATGCTTCGTCTCTAACCCCTTCCTCATCCACCGCCTCCTCTACAACTTCCTCCTTCCCCTCCATTTCCGATCCCCCGACATCCTCCTCCTCTCCTTCTTCCTCCTCAGCACCTTTTCATATGATTTGGCGCTCCTTTCCTCCTTCTAATGCCTCCGGCTCTTCCACTTCATGCTCTTCTCACCATTTGCTAAGTCCAAGCCGTCTACTGCAGGGCACACGGAACTTCCAAATTTCAGCCATATTTTTGGTACTCATCCTTCTGAACGCCTTTCCGGTTCGTGATAAATGTTATATGATATTGTTGACTTATCAGCAAGTTCTCCAGAACACTTTTTCGCCGAAGGAAAGGTTACCATGTAAAATTGACTTCAATATTTATCCCTCAAAATCATCAACGCATTCTTTGACTTCAATATTTATCCCTCAAAATCATCAACGCATGTTTGAACAGCTATCAACGTCACCAGAACAAGATTTTTGTATCTCTCGGCACAAAGTTTCGAAATATCGAAGCAATACTTTCCGGC